AAAGCATGAGCGTTTGAGGATACCAAGCATTTTATTTGCCTTCGCCACCATCTTGAGTATGTGTGGGCCCCATTTCAAATTGCTGGTCACGAGCATACCAAGATCTTTCTCGACTTGACAAGGAGATAATTCATTACCATATATGCGATATGGAAATCGCATTGGGTGTTGCTTTCTTGATATTGTCAGCACTTTGCACTTTTCAGTGTTAAATCGCATTTTTGAATCAGTGCTCCACTTTTCCAGTTTGGCAAAGGTCGTCTTGCAGGAGCTGGCAATCTTCTACCGATTTTATTTCTCTGTATAATTTTGAATCATCTGCATACAGTGCTGAGTTCGTACTGGGTGAAACGTTATCGGGAAGATCATTTATGAATATGACAAAGAGCAACGGTCCCAGAATACTGCCTTGCGGTACACCTGATGTTACTGGAGACCATGCAGAGGCTGCACCATCAATGACAACTCACTGCCATCTATCATTCAAGTAATTTTCGAACCATCGTAAAAGCGTTCCGTTTATGCCATGCATTTGTAGTTTGTGAAGTAGGATGTCATGATCTACAGAGTCGAACGCTTTCGAGAAATCTAGGTATAGCACATCGATTTGTTTGTTTCGATCCAGATTTTTACCAATGTCATGTAGTATACCTAGAAGCTGGGTTATACATGAACGATTTCTTAAGAAGCCATGTTGGACATTATTGATCAGTACACGAACAAATGGGTAAATGTTATTGAAAACGCATCTTTCAAGAACTTTGGAAATTATCGGCAGAAGGGAAATGGGACGGTAGTTGGTCACGGGTTCGACACAGTCTTTTTTGTGGATGGGTATAACGTTCGCATGTTTCCATTCCATAGGTAGGCGGCATGTTGTTAAGGACATGTTGAACAAACTGCAGAGGCTTGTCGAGATTTCTCTTGAGAGTTCTTTCATTAGACGTGGTGGTATTCCATCTGGGCCATAAGCCTTTGTTGTGTCCAAATGGTTAAGGTACTGCTCGACTTCATTCTGCGAGATCTGAATATCAGATATTATTTCGTAAGTTTTTGGTGTCATGTTCAGGTTTGCATCTTGGGAAGATGACTTCGGAAGAAAAACAGAGGCGAAGAATGTGTTGAAAAGTTCTGCTTTTTTGTGTGATGTTGTTGCAGTTGAGTTGTTGTACGTGTTAGCAGGTGGGGAATTTCTATTGCGGAGGATATGTTTGTGGTAGGATTTATCTATTGCTGTGATAAATAGATCTTTCCATGCTTTCCAACATTCGTCTATATCTGAATTATTGGATATCGCAGAATCGAGAGGGACATTCATTAGATGTTCACGAGCACCGTCGAAGTTTGCATTATTGAAGTCGTACACTGTTCGTCTTATCGATTTTGCTTTTTGAAAACAAACTTTGATATCGAACTCGATAAGATAATGATCAGTTGGAAATAGATCAGTTGGATTTGTGCAGTTCACGTTCGTGATGAGCTTCGGAGAATTCGAGAATACACAGTCCAATTTATTACCATGCAGGTGTGTCGGACCGACATCTTTTTGGTAGCGGAATTGATCTGTAATAATCTCGCAAAAAAGTTCCTCCTTGAAACTGCCTTTAGATGTGGGAGAAGGAAAGTCCAATGACCAGTCAATATTGGGTAGGTTAAAATCACCGACCAGAACAAATTGACATGATTCATCTAAACGATCAAGAGAGTCTCTCAACTCAATTAGTATATCTTCTTCAGAATTTGGTGGTCTATAGAAGAGACTTAATAGGAATTTCGAGCAGTTCGCAGGATACAGTTCGATCATGAGATGTTCACTTTGTTGACCTTCAAGTAGCAGTCTTCGAGATGAGCGCAGTTCATTTCTTATCGCTACAAGGACTCCGCCACCTCTCATGTTCCCGTGTCGGTCTTTTCTATGAATGGTATAACCGGGTAGAATTTCGTTATCAAGAATTAATTCATTTAACCAGGTTTCGCACACACATACGATATCATACTGTTCGAGATAAACAAGATTCTGAAGAATGGTCAACTTACTGGTTTTCTTTGCCTTGTCGTCTGTGGATTCTGCGGTTGCCTTTAGACTACGAGCGTTTAGATACAAAGCTCTTAAACTGTTCAGTTTTGCCCCAACTTGTTTTCTAGAGCTACTCAAAGCTGGTCCTGGATTAGGATGCACATCGCCACAGGCTAGAATAGCGGTGGTAGTCAAGTTGTATGACGCAGTGGTATTGCTGTAGTACTGAATCCTTGACTTGAGCCATTTGTGCTTTGTTGGGATTGACGCAGGTACTTTATACGAATGGGTGGGTTTGCCGAGAACGGAATATGACAACGTTCGATACAAATACGGTACAGCCGCGATACAAATGGCCACATGAAGTAAAAGAGTCACCGCGAGCAAACTTTGAAGCAGTTTATTTGAATGCAACATAATTCGGGCAAGATCTTTAATTCTACTTGTTGTTATTTGTATACACGTCTAGAAAATTGGGGTTTTTATCATAAAGTTTGAAGCAACACTATTTATATATGTTGACAAGGTGTAACGAAACGGCACAAAATAATAATTCTTTTATTCGCTAGACAATCTACTGTTTTGCTTTGAATAACTATATTAGCGAATTGGGAATGAGGATTTTGAAATTATTGTTCAAATATTACGGATATACCATTTGTAAACAATGTACATATGTATCCGTTTTATTTTGTATATTTTACAAACACAAGACTGCTTCTTGCCAAAATTGAGAAAATATATATTAATGTAGTTGTGTATAAGACAAAATTTCATGAAAGATTCTACTTTTGGTATATATTTTGACTCATTTTGTGCTTTCGCTACACCTTGTCAACATATTAAATAATAGTGTTGCTTCGAACTTTATGATAAAAAACCCCGATTTTCTAGACGTGTATACAAATAAAAATAGTAAAAACAATATACTATAAATGAGTTTATTTTACCTGTATCAGTTTAAATTTGCCTTTAAGTTGCAAATAATTCTGTTCGAGAACGCAATAATTGGGCATTTTGCAACCAGGGCAGTTTCAGGGCAGTTTTGCCCTTGTTGTTGGGAAATCCACTAGCCCTTCTAGGCTTGCTTCCTCCACCCCGCCCCCAAATCACCTAGTCCCAGACTTTTCATGTGAAAAAGCGCTGAATATTAAAAAAATATAGATAAGACTAGAAGGCCTAGGTCTAGGCTGGCCAAAGGGCTTAAACTAACGCAATATGTCTGAAATTTTTTACAGTAATTAATAACCCAACAAATTTTCCATCTGTTAACTCAAAATATGATTAAAGCTTTTAAATTTCGTGCGCAAGCCAGTTTTAAGTTTGTTGGAAAAGGCACACCCCTGGTTCACAAAATTTGAGTTCAAGAATTTTTTTCATTAGACACCTTAAGATTGACGTATTTTTCGCAAACATCTAACCGCTAACTGCTAGAAACCATGTGACCAGGAGCTTGCCGTCACGTTTGCCGTAAATCGCTCACGTTTTAAACCTCAAGAGTGCATTCTACAGGTAGTGAGTGTTATTACTTCATTGCACGTATATGACATATATTAAGACAAATATACATCTTATCTTTGATTTGGATAGATAAAAGTTGTTTTTAACGGGAAATTTTTCATATTTTGAGCAGGGGCGGATCTAGGATTTTTCAAACATAAGTCGAACGCCGAAGGTGTGAGCCATGCTACGGGGGTCTGGGGGCATGCCCCCCTGGAAAATTTTGAAATCTAGAGTCTCTGAAATGCGATTTCAAGCGTTTTGGCAGTGAGATTTTGCAGAATTCCAAAGATTATAAAGTACATCAAGCACATGCTTTTACGTGCCTTCTCCCAGTCCTCGGAATTAGATTTACTTATGGAGGGTCATATTACAAAACACATCATGTAGTTTCAACTTTCAATAGCCTTTTGAATTTGGCTCATGAAATCCTTCGCAAATTGAAGTGATATGATACCAATGACTGATCCAATATAACTCGCTGTTTGTGAATCAAAATTCTCAAGCAAAATAAAGAGTAATATTTCAATTATACTTTGTAAAATGCATTTTTTATTCAATGAATTACAATATGCTATAAATATCACTTGTATATTATAACGATATTCATCGCAAATCTTTCATGCAATGCAAGTCATCCAAATGATATTGTTTTAACACTCCAATGGCAATGCTCTATTCTGGCCCTTTTTATAATGGGCAATGCATTTATAAATTATAAATACAGCAGGAAAGCTATAAGGCCTGAAAGAGCATTGTAAGTTGCAAGTCGATTGCGCGTAAAAATGTATTAAAGCGCATTATATTTCAACTTTGTCTTCGCATTGATCATACAAGATACATTGGCATTGCAATATATTAATTTCTGTTTCATAGTTTTGGATATTTTCATACATTATAGCAGTGCACACTTTCCCTTTGGCTTTACCACCCACATTAAGACCATGATCCTTTGTGAAGCACGTAGCAGAGAAGTCCCAACTTAGTGCCTTCTCATTGTTGAACAGAACAACATTATAAAAGCTGCTCGCTTGATGTCTTAGCTGCCCCACAATAATCCTCATTCAGAGACAATTCAAATTATTAAAGGCCGTTAAATCGTCTCGTACAATCGGCTGCGTACATATAAATACTCAACATCGTAAAATAATTCTCCCAACTATGAAAAACCTTCATATACGGGAATATGAAAGACTGCTTTGCATGAATTTCGCAATTTTCAAGGACTGATATCGCTGATATCCCCAGCCGTGAATAAGTCCGAATCAGTCCCAAAAATGAACCAATAGGAATTGTCAATAATTTCAAATTGACCAATCAAAATTAAAGACATTTAATGGACTGATAAAAACTACTCCCTTAAAGTACAAATCAGTCAGACCACCCCACAATATTTTCAAATTGACCAATCAAAGGAAAGAAATGGACTGATAAAGACTCCCTTAAAGTGCATATCAGTCCGGCCACCCCACAGATCAGTCGAGATAAGTCCAAATGACCTCTCGACCAATCAAATGAGCATAACAACCACCCGATTCTGCGAGATTCTTGCGCTTTACCACTGCTCTAGATAAAGCATATATTTATTCAAAACTGAACTCGTAAAGACGTATACTAGACTATGATATGAATTTCATATTATATTCGGGAATTAATTATTCAAATTTCGAAATAATAAATTAATTATTTCTTTGCAAAAAATACGTCAGTCACGCAACTGATTGGACTTACCCTAGATCCGCCCCTGATTTTGAGTGCTTTTAACCGAACCTGCATGCATAAATTCCATATATAGACAACATGGCGCCCAATCGACTCTCTAATTTATTTCGGTTAAACAAACATGAAAATTTCGGTTGTCAGTTCAATATTTTGTGGTCGATTTTGGTATGATAGATTTCTTAAATTGAGATTTGTTTATTTTAAGTTGTGTTTTGAATCGTTTTAATTAATAAACGTTTACATTTGAACATTCACAATAAAGCAAGTTCAAAATCATTGATGACTTTTTCAGTCTGTTTAAACATACTTGCATATTGCTTACTTACATTTATACTTTCATATTTCAATTAATTTTAACAAATTGATAGTCACATTTGTTTTTTTTGACAGGATGGCACAATTCAAATGGATCCTATAGTTTTGACGGAAAAAATTGACGCAAAGAAAAACGTCAATCTTAATTTCATATTTGCAAGTACGCCAAATGTGAAACCACTAACGGCAAACCGCGGTCAGGCGTAAACTAAATAAACGTCAATCTTAAGGTGTTTATTATTCTACATTGGGCCATTCCATTTATTAAGCGCACCCTCCCCATTGAGGGTTTTCAAAAAATACCCCCTGGATATTGCTTTAGTAATAGGGTATGTGGATTTCTCATTTTAACATTTCCTGTGGATTTTCTAAACCTTTGTTAACCTATTGAGGGTAACATAATTTCTTTCCCTGGATTTTTGGATTTTGTTAAATTTGTTCAATGGATATTTTGCATATGTTCTTTGAAATAGAATTAATACAGGTATATGTACCTCAAAATAACCCAGTACCTCAAAACATACACAGGCATTTAACTTGTTATAAGTCAGTAAATTAACATTGTCGCCTACAACTGACTGTTGAATATTATTGATAAGATATTTATCTTTATGGAAAAATGACTAAAGTGGGAAAATGATCATATTGTACTCCAACAGGTGGGCGGATGGGTATTTTTTGCTTTGTCATAACCAGTAAATGTTTCATGAAACAGCTGCTAAATGCTGTGACCCTAAATATAAGTTAGCAGGTTTGATCTGTTATAACAGGCAAATATACAGTCAGTATGTCTCAACACAAAAGATTCATGAAACAGTCGACATTATTGAATAATTGAGTGGTATATAGGGACCATTAAAAACACGTTCTTTGTATGTTTTGAGGTACAAAATGTTGAATACTTGTAGATTGTACATGAAGCTTACAAACGTTTTAAAACACAATAATGCATGAAACCAATATTCGGCAATAAACAATATCACACAATAAAAAGAATTTCGAAGTATATCACATATTGTATTGAATGACAATGTCACACAAAAAGCACACAATACTTTTAATAACACACAACATTGTGCTACATGTACAGCATATCTAACGAAAGCCGGTACCTATTTTTTAGAAGTTAGTTTCATGGCGTTAACAATGACAAGATTACCATTCAACGCATTGTACTCAGTGTTAGCAACATCATTTTGACTTTTTCTTGTTCACAGCAGCAGCTGGTAATATCATTTCTGGTTTCATGCCATTTATTTTGCAACAGGCCTTGCTGCAAATGGAGTGTAAAATAGAGTGACATGATGGGCATTCCTTGAAGTCTGTAGCCGGACATTTATGTTCTTTGCACACACATTTTCTTTTGCATCGGTAGAAGTCCTATTTCTCTTTTTCCTTTGCTTTCATCTTGTCCTGCTTCAACTGCAACGTTTTTTGCTTATCCTCGTTGATTCTCTTGACCACTTTGATGACCTCCTTCCCTTCCATCGACCCATGAACTTGTGTGACTCGTGTAGATGTTGATGCCTGTTTCAGCTTGATTTTCTGAATCATCAAGAGACCAGGAATATTCTCTAACCGTATACTTTTCTTGTCACAATCACGAGTGGTTTGCTGAGCCATCTCAAACTTTGCCTTCCAGTATGCGGCAGACCCTTTTCGAAGATGGTTTGGCGATGCAGGTATGGTGGTGGAAGAAGGTGCGTTCTCTGAAGACGAGGGTGTAGGTGTGTTTTCTGACCTTTCACACTCCACAAGGTTTGCAGCTTGAACAAATTTATCCTGTTGCATGTCATTGATATTTAGCCCTTCTGCTGAAATGCCAACCCTCTTTGCAGTCTTTCTAATGAGCGTCAGCATTGCCCATTTATCCCACATGTTAGCTAATGACAAACAAACCCTTCTCTATTAACTTTCATCGTCGGTGTAAAAAGGCCGGCCTTTGCAACTTTATACTCTAGATGAATGTTCCTGTTGCATTGATCTAAAAGTTGTGTGACCCCTGTTGTGTCTGGTGGAGAGATGAACAGGCAGATCTTTTTCTCAAGGCAGAACTTCAAGACTTCGTAAGAACAACAGGTCGCTCAATGTTTTCTTTATCAAGATACTTGTCGAACAACTTGTAGCAAGCCAGTAGTGACATATGGTCCTGACACCCGTTGTCTGTCATTGAAATCAATAAGTTGTCAATCTTCTCAACCACTGTTTTTGGAGCCATATGACCTGTGATGCCTGTTGTGCCAAAAATAACTTGGCAAACGCAAACAAACCCTGACACAGAAACCACCGGGTTAATGGTTACACATTCACGGTTCTCGTTTATCATTCGTTTACAAGACTCACCACGTCCGGAATAAACAAGCCCATTCAGTGTACCGTCAACACCATAGTTTATGAATTGTGGTGTCTCATCATGGTTAAACACTCTGCTGGTATTGATTTGCCCAGTCCACACCCCAGGTGCAACTTGCTTGGTGTTGGTAAAGATGCCGGCATCAATTAACTCCTTCGCCAAAGCATCAAGATGAGAGGAAGCCATGTCACATGTACAGTTCATTGCTCTATTCATGGTCACAGTACCCTGTCTTTTCATTCGTAAATCATCATGCTTTGCATCCCACCTCTTCCAAAATGATCGACTCAACTTTTTGTTTTGAAGAGCCCTCTTAGCATTCACTGACAGGTTAGTGTAGCGCCTTCCTCCCTTTAATTTCTTGTTTGCATAGTCTTGAATCTTGAGAATGTCTAGAATCAAGTTTGTCAATTGTTTCTTGTTGATTCCTTGCAGACAACGGTTCTTATTCTTGACAAATCTGACAACGGACTCCTCTTCCAAGTGTGTGAGTATACAGCAATACTGCTTCTCACACCCAGTTACAATTTTCCCATCAAGTCGATTGTCAATTGTGCTTCTGCTCTTTATCAAATTGAAAAGCCTTGTCGTCAAGGCAGCATGACCCCTTGCATTATTTCCTCTGCACCATTGAATGGCAGCATGTAGCTGGGCCTCCTTTTTCTTAATATTAGAGCGAGCAACTCGTGCTTCAGCATGTGTGTTTGGTCTTCCTTTTGTTGGTGCCATGGCAAGTTACACTTTAATCCTTCACATTTTGGTGGAAAACATTATAGTTAACTGAGCCCCCAATTTCTACAGAATTGATGCATTGAATGCAATATACTTGATGTACGAAGGAGTATAGTTGATTAAGCATATCATTAATCCTAAATTCATGATATCACTTAACTATAAGATTTACCAACAGAAAATCTAGGATGGTTAGGTACATAGAAGTTGATTATCATGCACAGTGTATCAAGCACTTTCCTAAAATGTGTGAAATACATTGTTTTCCACTTATCCAATTACCTTACCTTGCCAACATCCAATTTTCTTATGCATGTTTTGAGTTCTATCCCATAAGTCGTAACCTACGGACTGACATGAAGAACGCAAGCTCACTGGGAGTGACATCACATTGAACAAGGATCAACCGTTGGGAGTAGATGTCGATTTTGGAGTTCCAGTTCAAGTTTGGTATAAGTTTTGGTTTTTTGACGAGAGTGTAGGTAAGTATAAGTTTGAATGAAATATCAGTGTAGGTGCAGCATGTAATTCTGTACGAATTACGCTTATTTTGACCTGGAATGACCTTGTATGGCATTCATTATATGGACATGGTCGGAGAGATTGTGAAATATAGGTGTGTCTTTTAAAATATACTAAAGTAATGCAGTTTTTTCTGTTTCTTTCCTAGACCATGTCGAAGGCCAATGTCTCCAGTGTGAGCATATGTGCAGAGCAAAGTTCAAGGCCTATAGATCCGCCAGTGAGCGATCTTGACTTAGATAGCACTATTGATGAAAGTATTGATCAAAGTGCAGTGAACCGCACGATTTTAATGAGTTTGAATCGCTTAAACGAAAATTTTACAAACTTTACTGAGCAGTATCAGGAAGATGATGTTCAAATAGATTCTCAGCCACTTGACAACCATGTTGAGAATCCTGAAAATGTCGATATTCAGGCAGACATTGCTAGTTTAATTCAATCAGGCAGACAAGTTGACCGTGTTAGTGCCTACATCACTAATGACAATGCAAATGAAGCTGAAGTTTTGCAATATGAGCAACAATTAGATCTTAACGTTGATGTGAAAGGGCCAGCAATTAGTGAGAAATTGGCGGTTTGGTTAATAAATTGCGGCTGCAAAGAATAAGCCAAGATCAAGCTAAAGCGATAGCCAAACATCATAATACGCCCGAAAATGTTCAATTACGCCTGCCTAAATGTGAACCAAGTATTTGGAATGAAATTTCCGGCAAGGTGCACATTACAGATATTAAATTTCAGTCAACACAAGCTGCATTATTAGGTTCTATTAATTGCCAGCTTGAAGCAACTAATTCCTTGCTGTCAGCTAATGTGTCCAAAGATGTTCTAAACAGTTGTTTAGATGGCATCACACTGGCAATGACTGCTAATTATGAGCTCAATCAATGACGACGGGATGCCATCAGACCTCTATTTAAAGCGGAATTTGCCAAGGGGCTTTGTAGTACTACAAGTCCAGCTGACAAATTTCTTTTTGGAGGTGACACTGCTAAACGCGTTAAAGAGATGGCCGAGTTCAACAAACACAAAGTGTGTAAAGGTTCGACCAGTTTTCATGGACGAGGTCCGAGATTTCACCCGTATGCTACGAGAGGTTTTTGAGGCGGGTCAATGCGTGGTAGAAGCCAGCGTGGCCACAGTTCTCCGTCTGGTTCTGGTTTTCATCAGCGCCAGAATTTGCAGAATGTGCCCAGTACGAGCGAAAGGCCAGCAACCAAAAGCCCACTTGCAAATGGTATGTTGACTTAATAACTAACGTTAAATCACTTATTTCTGAGCAGCCAGGTTTTAGGGCTGGTAATACTAAGAATTGTGTTTCTAAATGGTCAGAGATCACATCTGACCCAGAGATTTTAGATTATATAGAGCATTGTCACATAGAGTTCATTGATGACCCTTTTAAATATAGCATTCCAGGGCATCAGCATTTTAATGTCCACCAACATGATTTTATTAGTAAGGAAGTAGATAAACTACTGCAGCTTGGAGTCATATCTAAATCGATGCATGCTGCGGGAGAATGTATATCTCCAATTTTTGTAGTACCAAAACCGGATGGTTCATATCGATTGATTTTTAATTTTAAGCGCTGTAACCAGGTTGTTCTTTGCAGACATTTCAAAATGGATACGCTTGCTGCAATTCTTAGTTATAGAATATTACACTATTCCTATTGCAGAGGAACAACAGAAAGTTCTGAAATTTGTTTGGAATGAACAACTGTATGAGTTTTGTGTACTGCCTATGGGGTTAACTAGTTCTCCCAGAATTTTCACCAAAGTCATGAAGCCAGTTTGGGCTACTCTTCGACAAAAAGGACACATTAACAGTGGTTTTATTGATGACTTTTATTTTCAAGGTCAGGAATTTTCGGATTGTGCAGTTAATGTATTGGATAGTGTCAGACTTTTTATTAGTCTCAGGTTGTATGTACACCCTGACATATGTCCATTGATACCCTCCCAAGAGCTCTTAATTTTTGGGGTTCTTAATAAATAGTTTGTTAATGATAGTAAAACTTCCCCTAGAGAAAAAGGTAAAATTGAGAGATCTCTGTTTACAGGCTTTGCATGGCAACACACTTACAATTCAATTCGTAGCTAGTGTTATTGGTACACTTATCTCTGCCCTCCCTGGGGTTGAGTTTGGTTGGTTACACTATCGCAATCTTGAATGCAATAAAATTAATGCCCTTGCAAGGAATAATGGAAATTATCGAGCACTTATGCGCCTTTCTGAGGCAGCAAAGCAGGAGCTTCAGTGGTGGACTACACATGTAATGCATGCATCTAGGCGACTGTGTCATCCCGTCATCTCCTATATCTTTCAGACTGATGCCAGTGATCTTGGCTGGGGCATAACATGTACTACTAATCCTCAGTTACAGTCTCAGGGTTTGTGGACAAGTGCACAGCGTACCCTACATATTAATGTGAGGGAACTGTATGTTGTTTTTATAGGTTTAACAATATTTTGTATGGACAAGTCCGAAGTCCACATTAAATTCGAGTTAGACAATATGACTGCCGTTAGTTATATCAATCACATAGGGGGATGTAGATCTTCTGCTTGTGATACAGTAGCCAGAAAGATTTGGGCGTGGTGCATTTCCCACAATATATGGGTCACTGCTAATTATATGCCAGGACCCAGCAATGTAGTTGCAGATTCACTTTCTAGAACACATCTGTCAGATCATGAATGGCAGCTTAATTTCTAAGTTTCTTTCCTTGCATAGTTTTATCAGGTCTTTCTTTTTTTCTGGAGAAATGAACATGTTCTCTCCACTGGTCCCGTCTCGTGTTGTCATCCATATCTTTTTTCATTTCTTTTGTTTTTTCAGTGAAATACTTTGATACTTCCTCTTCAATTGTCCATGACAACAATGCTAGGCTGCAAATAATGTCTGAGGAAGGCTCAGACACAAAAAGATAGGCTAAGTCTAAAACATGACTGGGTAAAAAGCATCCTTCAACAGTCCTAAACGCCCTTTTCAAGGTTAGTTCATTGTTCGAAAGGAAGATAATGTAATTCTTTTGTTTCCAACCATCTTACATAATCAGGTAAGGGCTGATGATGAAATCTCTCCAGGTTTGAACCTTCTCACTTTTCGTCCTTCCGATAGATTATTGTGGTATGCTTGTCACGCCAAGACCTTCTTAGAATAGCGTTTTCGTTTTTAATCACTTTGTAATCTTCAGACAATAGCTCATGAAAGGCCTTGTTAACTCCCCAGACATTGTGCAAAGATTGTAAAAGTGACCCATCACGTACCGAATAATTTTTCTCACATAATTTTTTGTTTGCTTCAGGCAAATTTAAGAACTCTTAGACAGAAGCTTTGTCATCAAAAACCAACTGATCTTGCTGAAGGCCTCTAAAGACTGTTATATACTTTCCACCAAATGTCACACCCTTTAAACAATCTATAACTCTTTGTGCCATATCTTTGATGTTTTCTTTATGCTCATTTGCATGCCGGTTGTATCTGGATAGATTAAATGGCTGCAAAATGGCCCGTGATCGGAAAGGGCTTTATTTACTGGAGGGTTACCCTTTCTACAAAGTTCCTTTTGCTATTATATTCAGCAAACGAAGTTTGAATTACATGGTCCAGACTGAGAAAATTACATAATCTGACTAAAGACATTTGAACTAAAGTACTTGCGGGTTGTTCGTTTGCACCGTTATCCACGACAAATAGAAAGTTATTTTTATGTTTTCCTGTGTTAGGATTTCTAAAGTATTTGTCAAAACATGGTTGGGTCATTAAAAAAAGTATTTCATTCAATTGTTGATAAACAGTTTCTGGTTTGTAGTGGGAGAGGTAGACAAGGTTTACTCCTTTTCCAGACAGAGTGACAGAAAGTCCTGATGATGGCGATGTTAGGGGCAAGTTTAGTTTCTCCGGATATAGCGTCTCTAAGAATAGATGGGCCATTGGGGACACTGCATTTTTTCGACCTTGCTCCCAGTCATGATCACGCAGACTTGCATCCCTTTGTTGCCATGTTTTCATCGGCTTTTGAACAGGTGCAATGTCTCCGTGAACTACGCTTTTTGCATCCTTGGGAGTCAATGAAGAAGCCATTAGATTGTTCAGCAGCAAGGTCAACAAGATAGTTAACATTTGACAAGGACCAGTGAACGTTTATCACAAATTTTGCGACACCAATTCTTGGCGGTTGGTGGAGAGAAATGCATGCATTGATTTCTCTCCCATTGTGGTGTCGTTTCGCCTGTAAAGAGAAATATTAAAGAAATATTACACACAGACAGAGAAATATTAAAGTCTGGATCAGCCAATGAAATCACAAGTTCCCTCGCCTTCTTCATGTTCATACTGCTATCCGTTGTCCTATACAAAGTATCACTTAGGAGTCAGGGGTGACTTTGAATTCCTCCTTCCATAAATGCATACTTCAACAAAGGAACAAGTTGCAGATTTAAGCTTTCTGCCCTGACCAGGTTTGGTGTAATATTTCCTTTTTCTTCCGCTTGCTAATGATCCTTTGTGTGAGAGCCATTTGTTGTCTGTTTGTCATGTCGTTTCTTACGATTTGTGAAGTGACTTTGATATCACGAAAGCTATTAAGATTCGGAAGGAAATAATCGCGACATTTTTGCACTCTTTGTTTATTACCAACACCAAGTAGTGATTTAGATACAAAGTTCACACTTGTTACCCTTTCAAATAAAGTGACGGCTGTATCACAGTCTTGTTTGTTATCCATATACTTTATAGCATCTTGAAAATCCTTCCCAATCGCGTTTTCAATTTTACTGTTGACGTTTTTTGCATGATCAATTGATGCGGTAATGAAAGAGAGGAGTGATGAAAAGTCGCAACAGGTGTTCTCTGCTATAAATGATGTTCCTTTGATTTGAAATTGCATGATATTTAAATGTTTCGAAAGGATGTGAAATAATTCCAATGACATTATTCAATGGTTGCTCGAAGAATTTGATTCCTTTTTATACAGTTTTGCCAGTTCTTGTGTTGGTACAACTGCAGACTCGTCCCCAGTCGCTTTAAGAGCGGGCGCGCGGCCAGAAGTGGGCGTGTAGAGGCTCACGGCCAGGGCGAAAGAAGAAAATTTAGCAACTGGCAGATTACTGTGATTTTTCTTGCAAGAAATTGTTTTTCTTGCAAACTAATATTTTATGCTTCAATTTTGGATTTTTTGACATTGGTATACATAAATCGATCATGTTATGATGTAGTCTCTGCAAAGTGCGTATTTTTATCAAGTATATCTGCCTTCTATTGGTCAAGTCTGGAGTACTTCAATTAAATGGCGGACTTTGATGAACTTAGATGGTGAGTCTAAAAGATAATATAATACATTCTACCACTTGAATGTCTTGAATTTGTTGACCCTTTGAGCCGTAGCATAAATTTGCGTATACTAAAGAAATTAAGAAACTGGAATTCATTATACGCTCGGCTGATTAGCGCCATGTTGCCTTGTTTCAAGTTGTAATTTTTGTCATTCTGAACCATAGACTTCAATTCCATAAATTCAGATGAATGTCCTAAGACCAGCACTCCTAGAACTCCTGAAGCGAGAAAGTTACTGCCATTTGATGTCAAACACGACCTAACACCAGATTCTAAGAGTCCGGGATTACCAAGAAGGCAAGAACTAAATGCAGGAAAGTTGTTCAAGGTTGGAACTTGTATTTTTAATGTGCAGGTGATGTTAGCACATTTGTTCCTGGAGATCTTCAGGGCTCTTTAAAGAATATATGCATCAAAACAGATGGGTTGAGACTTAAACAAGAGGATGTTGTTACTGATGATCTTAGTGTAAAAAGCCACCTTTCAAGAGCTTTGGCAGCCATATTTCGTAACTGTGAAAAGAAAAGGGTGTTGTGCGAACATAAACAAATATATTCTTTTTACATGTGTAAAAGCTGATGTGCATATGCAATACATGATCAATCCAAATCATTACATTGTATTACAAATGACATAATATTTTTATATTTGTCTGGTATATTGTGTTTTGGTTAATCTTCCTCAGGATGCTACGTCACAGAATAAGGTACACAGAAGGTTGACTTCTTGGGTTTTCCTATGATTTTGGCGTAACCCGTAATCAAATGCTGACGTCATGGTCCTAGCCAGTGCGCGTTTGAGAGGCATTCACTCCCCTGATATTATTAAAAATGGTGAACGTCCAGGGGGGAATCCCTCTTAAACGTGCACTGGCTAGGACCATGGCATCAGCATTTTGATGAATCATGGCGTGGCAACGGTTACTCAAGTCAACCTTCTGTGTGCCTTATTCTGTGGCTATGTGCCCCTCACTCACCTTCCACCCCTGAATTTTTCTGCACAACCACCCACTTCCCACCATGCAGATAACATATGAAAGTATAAAGCTTTATTAAGTTAATATAATAGACATGCTCCACTACATCATGTACACTAACTGTAATTATAATACATTTTAGTTTTAAATTAATTTAAAATTATTCACTGTTAATAATTCCATTGAAGAAGTCCAATTAAAATGGTTCAAAATTAATCCAGCTTTTGTGTCTTCAATTTCCATACATCTTGCTTGGTACTGCAGTATTTTGCCATCCAGATCAAGATTAACCCTTTAAGTGGCAATGCACCCTGATATGCCCTACATTATTATTTTACTCTGTCTAACACCAGACAATTTACTCATCAAGGGAGAGTGCTGTCACTCTAGGGCTTAATTGGGAAACCAGGGTGAGTCAGGACAAATTTCCAATTGTGTGATAAATGGTGTTCCAATTGTAAGATAATTCTGGAATAAACAAGAATATATTATATGTTGTAAAGTTGAGTAAAGAAATGATGGGAAAAACAAGAGATACCAGAACCGTTGGTGGTGCAATTATCAGACTTAATGGTATAACAATCAAAAGTCAGTGCCATAGCAAGTTCGATAATGGGGGGGAGGGGGGGCTCATATTCATATATTCATATTCACAGTCCATAAAAACAATCAATTTCAAAAGAAATTAATAACGCAGAACACGAATAACAAATATATAAATATGAGCCTCCCCCAATTATCGAGCTTGCTAAGGCACTGAAAGTGGCCCTAAACGTTGATACAAGGTAGAAATTACCTTATCATTTCAAGGACTATGAGTGCAATGATTGTCAGAACATAGTTAGAAGTAATTGCCAGATTGCCCCCAGTGCATTGATACAGTATTTCTGGTTTTCCAAATTGTTTAATTAAGGCTATGATAGGAGTTATGTGCCACCTGAGCTTCTATATTATCCCTACAACCCTGTGCCCCCCAACAATGTTTTGTTAATGGCCAATGTAACGTCTTTTCATCATACAGTAACATTTAGTTAGGGGGGGTATATTTTGTTATTTACAGGTATTTTGGGAAATATTTGAATGCTCCAAAAGTCTTGTCATTGATTTAATAGCCTTGTATGCAAAGTTTTAAGTTGGCACATAATCATATTACACAAAACCTGGAGTTAATAGCACTTTATAAAGTAATTTATAAATAACAAAAATTTGTAGTTTCGGCAACCAAATATTTGTGAAATACACAGGTGGCAAAAAAAACCCAGCAAAAAGCTGTTTTCTTTATAATCCAAAGAGTTTAAGAGTGCATTTCATCGTGAAATATAAAGATATAAACGCATAAATAAAATTGAATAAAATACCTACCTGTTTTTATATTGCTCGCTGGCTCCAATTAATGAATTAAAGGCATTCACCACTCAAGATTTACGAATACCTTCGATTGGTTGTTAATCGATAGCTTTTCCAAACATGACAGTGTTTCCTTTAAGTGCTTTTCTCAGTTCTCTGGCACAATAAGACTTTTCACCTTTTAAATTTTAATATCACTAATCAGCTGAAAGCCTGAAATAACAGGTTACATGTTACAGGACATTTATGGATTGTCCTGTAATGGTGGTCTAAACCATCTTGATCATAGCAAGATAAATTATACTGACATTCCTCATGCGGACAAGGGAGTTTATCAGCTAAAAACGCTCTGTGGTGTATATTAAAATAGTCTTTCCTCTTTTGTTGTCAAATTGTCCGCCATTTTGTCTCTGTAATCTGCCAATCTGAAATTCAAATAACGACTGGGGACGAGTCTGGTACAACTGGACCATGTTTCAGCAAGTAGCTAGCAACTGTATGCGTCACATGCAGATAATTTTTCTGGTGTGGTTTGCAGGACATCATTTTTCTTTTTAAGATTTCTAGGTTATCTTGCAAATTCCCTCTAACTTCGCTGCGATGAAATTGGTGTCCACCTTCTTGATTAAGGGCGACAGTTTTTCTTTTTGAATTTTTATAATACAGTTTTCCCTGTTGGTTGTAAAATTCCTGCCTCGCGCCACTGAGTGGCTAAACTGTCGAAAACATTGGGATTTTTGTCTGTGAATACGGTAGATTGCGTGGTTGGTTGGTATCATCATTAGTGCTGCAGTGAGGTTTGCTTCCTGGCAAATCAGTATCACTGGAACAAGCATTGTCCTTTTGGTTTGTGAACACTTCATTTGAATTAATCACGTTTCTTGTAATTCAAATTGTTGGTACATGTAAGTGATGAGACAAAGCTGACAATGTATTATTTGGTTCTTTTGTGCTGGAAGGTGCTTTGTATTTCCAGGGATTTTATGGTGATTGTGTATCATCAAAAAGACTCGGTTTTTATGTTGTTTTTGTTGTTTGAAGAGAACTTGTAGAAAGCAACCTCATATTTGTTGTTGGTGCCGAATTGTCCAATTAATGGGATCCAGGCGAGCAATTGTTATTTGGTTGTTTGGTCTTGAAAGGCACTTCCTTCTCCATTGGTGTCAATGTTGAAGTACTGCTTCTTTTTTATTGTTAATCATCAATTAAAGTAGCACCAATTTTATTTTTAGGTTTGGTTGTTGTTTTCGGTGTTGAGGATATTTTAAGAAAACTTGTAGAAAGTGATTTCTGTTTTGTCACCGTTGGTGTTGAATGATCCTGTGGACTAGATCCAGCATCCTGTGGACTAGATCTGAGCAACTGTTATTTGGTTATATTTTGTTAGAAGACATTGTAAATCATTAACAAAAGTAGGACCAATCTTACTGTTCTGTCCCCTCCCCCGGTTCCATAGTTAGTTATGTCATTTCGCGCCATTTTGCTCGTTATCGAGCTGTCATTGGCTCCTGCGTCACTCACAGGGGGGGCGTACATTTTTATAGGTTGTTGTTGTAATGTCGCTCATTCGAGCACACTTTCGAAGGATCAGAACAGTGAAAAAAGTGTATCGTACAGCGTAAAAATACGACGAAATCGAGGGGTTTTGCGAAGCTATATCATGGCGTCAAATTGAGGAAATAATGTCTCGTAGTATGGATTCTATCGCTACAAACGACAATCTGGCCGTAACAGGCGCCGAACTTGAAGATCAAAATAAAGATATACAGCCTTCTGATATGCCCAAGGTTGGAGAAAGTAAACCGTGCAAACTAGCGAAAAAACGGAAAATATTGACGTCCAGGAGGGGGACATTGGGCACGATATTCCTGGGGAAAATATTGATATTACCGAGAGCGAGAGTGTTATAACAGAAAAAGAGACCACTGAAAGGCCTAAACGAAAGACTAAACCATCAACGAAATCTATCGAGAACCGGATCCAATCAGACAAAGCCAAATTGAACCGATTATGGGAAAAAGTACAGAAGTGTATATATCACAACTTCAAGACGCACCAAACTCCGGTACGTCAGGCGATATCGCAGGTACGTTCGAATTTCAATATTTACCAAGAGACATGGTTATCATTTGCAGACTTCCTTGCACATTCTGGCACACCCCAGTGCCTCCAAGAGCATGAGCGAATGGAGGGCATCATTAACAATCATAAACAATTTGTGCATGACAATATAACTCAAGGGAATCGACGAAAGGAAGAAATTATGTTAGAGATGCGGTCATTACGTTCTAGTTCTGGATCTCATGCGTCTTCCATGTCATCCACCGCTCTTTGAGCGCGAGCCCGAGCTGAAGTTGCTGCAGCATTAAAAAAAGCTGAGTTGCAGAAAAAACGACTCCTTGTAGAATCTCAATCAGCATTCGTAATACAACAAGAGGAATTGGCCCTAGCTAGACATAAACTCGATGAACAGGCCCGATTAGAAGCCCTACGCCTTGAGGAGGCTGCGGCAGTTGCAGTAGCTAAGGCCAACGCCATTGATGATGAATTGGGTTTTTGCACTGGTGGTGAACTACCCCATTTAGACCTACCCGAAGAAAACTCTAGCCAGAAGGTACAGCATTTTATTGAAAATCAGTGCATTAACCCAACCCCTAACACCCAAGTTGATCCCTCGAGTACCCCTAACCAGCCTATTCCATCAACCGAGCATGTCAACCCAACCCCTAGCACCCAAGTTGCTCCCTCAGGTACCCCTAATCAGCCTATTCCATCAACCGAGCGTGTTAACCCAACCCCTAACACCCAAGTTCCCTCGAGCACCCCTAATCAGCCTATTCCATCAACCGAGTGTGTTAACCCAACCCCTAACACCCAAGTTCCCTCGAGCAGCCCTAATCAGCCTAATCCATCAACTGAACATGCACCCGCACCCCAACTCTTGAATCACACAGCAAGCACCTTCACACCTAATAAACCCTCAGATCCATCATCAAACTCAGATCAAAATTTAATGAAGTCCTGCATTAAATTTATGGCCCGTCGAGAACTCATTGCTAACAAAATCGAGAAATTCGATAACAGCCCTGAAAATTTCCACACTTGGAAACTATCATTTAAGAATATGACGAGGAATATAAACATTACCCCTAGTGAAGAGCTCTCCCTAATTATAGAGTACACTACAAATGAATGGAAGAAACTCATCCAAAAACTGCGTAATGCATATATTGACAAACCGGAAAAGGGAGTGGCAGAAGTGTGGACAAAATTAGGTGAAAGATATGGGTCCAATATCGTATTGACCAAGGCATATGTAGATAAACTGACAAACTTCCCTAAGATTGGGTTTAAAGACAATAAGAAATTGCAAGAATTTGGTGACCTTCTATTAGAGCTACAATGTGCAAAGGAGGACGGTCGACTCCAGGGACTAAGAATCCTGGATGAACCCATCTACCTGAAACCAGTACTAACCAAATTACCTGGGGATATCCAAACTAGGTGGCAGAGACATGCCTTTTCCTACAAGAGAAACCATGATGTTGATTACCCACCATTCGCAGAGTTCTCTCAGTTTATCCAAGATGTATCACTCGAGAAGAATGACCCGAACCTGGCCTTCGAGCGTCCCGAAAACGACAACCCTGCAGCAAGAATGCGTGGTAGATACCCTAGGCAAAGCTACAAAACCGAGATTATGGATCCTTCATCTGGAGATCATACGAATACTCCAAACCCAAATTTGTGTATTATCCACCAAAAGCCTCATCCCATTAGCAAGTGCCGTGCCTTTCGTGCCAAACCAATTGATGAGAGAAAAAACCTTATTCGACAACACCGCTTGTGTTTTCGCTGTCTTGCCTCAACCACCCACATGGCAAAGGATTGTAAGCTTTCAGTGAAATGCACTGAATGCGAAAGTGACAAACATTTAGCTGCATTACATGTAGAGCGAAAGCCGAAACCAAAAGACCCAGAGGAAGTCCAAGGCAGGGAGCAAAGGAATGGTCAACAAGACGGTACAAACAAGATGGATAAGCAGCAGAGTGGTGAGCCTAGTCGTATAACAACAACGTGTACTGAAATTTGTGGTGATAAACCTGGTGGAAGATCATGCTCTAAGATATGTCTGGCAAACATCTATGTCAATCAACACCCTGATAGAAAGGTTAAAGCATATGTGCTTATTGACGACCAAAGCAACTGCTCACTTGCTAAGCCCCAGCTTTTTGATATACTGAATATAGACGGTGAGAGTTTCCCTTATACTTTGAGAATGTGTGCTGGCACCATGCAGACCGAGGGGAGGCATGCCAAGGGTCTCGTAATCGAATCATTGGATGGACATAAACGACACCTGCTTCCCACCATAACAGAGTGCAATGCAATACCAGACAACAAAGACGAGATCCCTACACCTGACATAGCAATGGCTCATCCGCATCTCCGCCCAATTGCGGATCAGATACCCGAAGCCCAACGTGACACCGACATCCTTCTGCTCATTGGGAGAGATGTACCACCTCTTCACAAAGTTCAAGAGTCTAGAAACGAAAGGGGGAACTTGCCATGGGCACAACGATTAGACCTCGGATGGGTCACATTGGGCAATACATGTCTAGACGGTGTCCACAAATCCAATGATCTCTCCTCCTTTAAAACCCACTTACTCCACAACGGGCGATCTTCCATCTTCGAGCCTTGCTCAAATGTATTCCACGTCAACAAAGCGACATCAGCACATGCAGATTCTCGTGAAAGCGTAAACGAATTCCGTAGGGAAGAGTCGTTCTCACAAGGAAAGTTCGAGGATGGACTTGCCAGCAAGGTGTTTGAACGTACAGAACTTGACAACAGACCAGGATACTCTGTCGAAGATCGAAAGTTCATCGAAATGATGGATACGGGCGTGAAAAAGAACGAAACAGGAAGCTGGATAGCTCCTCTCCCATTCCGCAATGAAGTGACACACCTGCCGAACAGTCGTGAGGAAGCCTTCAAACGTCTAAAGTCCACAAGAAAAACGCTCGATCGTAAACCAGATATGAAAAAACATTACTTTGCCTTCATGCAAAAGATTCTAGATAACGGGCATGCCGAGCCTGTACCTCCAAGCAAAGTGGTTACATCAAAGCCCTGTTGGTTCTTGCCTCATTTTAGGGTCTACCATCCCCAAAAACCCAACAAGATACAGGTTGTCTTCGACTCGGCCGCTGAAATCAATGGTATTTCACTCAACAAACTGCTACTATCTGGACCCGACTTTACGAACAGCCTGCTGGGAGTGTTATTGCGTTTTCGTCAGAACCCCACAGCATTCATGGCCGATATAGAGCAGATGTTCCATTCACTTGTTGTCAAAGAAGAACATCGCGATTTTTTACGATTCCTGTGGTACAAGGGGAACAACCCAGATGGGGAAGTTGTAGAATATCGAATGAAAGTGCACCTCTTTGGAAATACGTCGTCACCAGCAGTCGCCACGTTCGGCCTAAGAAAAACAGCGCAAGTTGGGCAGGCCCAATTCGGATCCGACGCTAGAGAATTTGTGGAACGGGATTTCTACGTTGACGATGGGCTTAAATCCCTACCTGGAAGAAAGCAGTCGATCGACCTACTTCAACGAACCCAAGGAATGTTGGCGACAGCGAACTTGCGTCTTCACACGATCGCCTCAAACGACGCAAATGTAACCCAGGCGTTTCCAAGCGGAGATCGTGCCTCTGGACTGTGTAATCTCGACTTAAACAATGATACGAAACCAATCCAGCGGTCATTGGGCATGTATTGGGACCTCGAAACGGACACGTTCACCTTTAAAGTTTCTGAAGGAAACAAGCCATTTACGAGACGGGGAGTTTTGTCTGTTATCAACAGTCTCTTCGACCCATTGGGAATTGTGTCGCCAGTGATAATCAAGGGAAAGATGCTCCTCAGAACTATATGTCTGCTCATCTAAAGAATCGTCAGTTTGGTGATTGGGATGAACCGCTTCCAGAAGAACACAACCCAGCATGGATGGAATGGTGCCAATCCCTCTCTAGTTTGCAACATCTCAAAATCCCACGTTCATACACCCTAACACCACTTGCCGAGACAAGTTCTATCGAGCTCCATGTATTCTGTGACGCCTCTATCCATGGAATTGCAGCGGTTTGCTATCTGAAGTCTACACAACCTGATGGAAAGGTTCACGTGTCGTTCGTCTTCGGGAAGGCCAAATTAGCCCCATCCCATGCCACAACTATCCCTCGCCTGGAGCTATGCGCTGCTGTCCTTGCGATAGAAATAACCGAGTTAATTATGGAGGAACAAGCTATCAAACCCCATTCAATAACTTTCTATGTCTATGTAAGCAATCGAGTCGAACGGATACGAAAATCTTCTTCTCCAGAAGAATGGCGCTACGTCCCAACGCAATTAAACCCTGCTGACTGCGCAACTCGATCAGTGAAGGCAAATGAGCTGGATAACAGTATGTGGCTCAGTGGTCCGAAATTCCTCCGCGACCAAGACCCGCATTATGACGCCTCGGAAGAATATGCTGTTCCTGGATCCTTCACCGATGACCCCGAAGTTCGTCCAGAAATTAAAACGCTTGCCACGAAGGTACAGAAAAGCACAGCAATTGGAACTAGTAGTTTTACGAAATTCTCGTCATGGTCAAATCTAGTAAAGGGTGTATCCAAGCTTATATCGACTGCCCGGTCCTACGATCGAAGCAACAAAGCTACTCGTGAATCTTCCGACGGAACGACCGAGATACAACCTCGTGACGGCGCTGTGGAAAGACGTAAGCAGGCGGAGACGGTAATAACTAAGAACGTACAGCAAGAGGTCTTTGCAAAGGAGATTGAACAGATAAAGAAAGAGGAGAAGTTACCTAAAGGGAGTGTTCTTATGAAACTAAGTCCGACGATCGACTCAAATGGACTCGGACGGGTCGGTGGACGTCTCGGAAGAGCTGAGCTACCCGTTGAAGAGCGTCACCCAATAATCTTACCAGGATCCCACCACATTACCACCCTTATAGTAAAGCACTACCACCATGAAGTCAAACATCAGGGGCGTCACTTTACACACAGACTTATCAGAGCGAAAGGCTACTGGATAATAGGAGGCAAACAACTTGTGAACAGTGTAATTCACCATTGTGTCAAGTGCAGAAAGTTAAGGGGACAACAGGTACATCAAAAGATGGCAGACCTTCCAGTTCAGCATCTCACCCCAGCCCCACCCTTTACCTACGTCGGCCTGGACGTTTTCGGACCGTGGCAAATAGTAACACGACGAACCAGAGGAGGCGTGGCCTGTAATAAACGTTGGGCTGTGATCGTCACCTGTCAATCCACATTGAGTTAATCGAGTCTTTGGATACCTCCAGCTTCATAAACGCCTTACGCAGATTTTTAGCACTTAGAGATCCAGTAGCTCAGCTTCGTTCAGACTGCGGCACGAACTTTGTTGGGGCGCGGAATGAGTTGGAAGCAGCGATGAAGGAGATGGATAAAAAAGATATCGAAGCCTACCTAGTTCGCAAAGGTTGTGAATGGATCTTCAATCCTCCGCACGCATCACATGCCGGTGGGATATGGGATTGGAATTGCGAGAAGGATTTTGGATTCTATGTTGTCCGAACTACCATCTAAAAGGCTTACGCACAAAGTACTCTCCACCTTAATGGCGGAAATCACGGCAATTGTCAACAACAGGCCTCTAATCCCAGTGTCCAACGATCCCGAAGCACCAGAAATCCTTACCCCATCAACCCAGAAACCGACAGCCTTGACCGCAACACCAGGACAGTTTACCTCGAAAGATTTACACACGGCACAGTGGCGACAAGTGCAATATTTGGCCAACGTTTTCTGGTCTTGTTGGCGGAAAGAATTCCTACCCATGTTACAGCCAAGACGAAAATGGCAATGCGAGCAACCCAATTTACAAGAAGGAGATCTGGTTCTGCTCCGGAGTAAGGAAGTGGCGAGAAACATGTGGCCCCCTTGCACTTGTAACAAAGGCCCACGAAAGCGCCGATAGGAAAGTAAGAAAAGTAGAGCTGATAACTGCAACGGACGGTATAAAACGCAGTTACGTTAGACCAGTCAACGAGGTTATTTTGCTAAGGAATGAAGACGAACTTAATCCAAAGCCTTAGAGAACTTGATAAAAGAACAAACTTCAAGCAGTTCATATTAGTTATTGTTATAGTCTATATATCCATAGCATTCGAACAGTCATTTGAACAGTTATTACGAACAGTTATAGTGGTATCATCATACCAGGCGGGGAGTGTTCTGTCCCCTCCCCCGGTTCCATAGTTAGTTACGTCATTTCGCGCCATTTTGCTCGTTATCGAGCTGTCATTGGCTCCTGCGTCACTCACAGGGGGGCGTACATTTTTATAGGTTGTTGTTGTAATGTCGCTCATTCGAGCACACTTTTTTCACCTACTTGTATAAGTTTTATATCAGAATAAATGCAAATGCAGTTGGTTACACTGCTGATGAAGGGCCCCAAGTGTTTTACGAGGTCCGAAGGATCAGAACACTTACTTTTAAGTTTGGTTGTTGTTTTTTGTGTGGTTGATTCCTTTGGGGAACTAGCAGAAAATGACTATACATTCATAATTTTATGGGCTGCGTGATCATGTTGACTAAAGCGAAAGCAAGAAGTGATCTTTTGTTGTCTTTTTTGTGGAGAAATCTCTTCTTTCAAAGGTGATGATGCACACTTTCTTGCAGCCGGTACAAACTCACCGTTTTGTTGTCGTAGTACATTTTTCTGCTGGAGCATGCTTTCATTTTCTTTTGCTTGATACTACACTCCACGTATTATTATAATTGATGGCCAGTAATAAAGGAGCAAAATGGTTAGCAGTAAATGTGTAAGACTGGTTTAGCCATCCTGACATGTTGGTCCACATAATAGTAATAAAACAGGCTGAACTAGGGGAAAGGCGTGGTTTGAAAGTACCATTCAGTAAAGCATACAGCCTGTTTTTTTGTCAGGGTAGATCATCTGAATAGTGCAATTTATTGCAGATGCCAATCCCATTATTTGTAGAACTCCCGAAAAAGCTCCGTTTTCCAATGTGATAATTGTCTCTCTTTCCATCGATTCTTTAAATACGGCAGGTGACATGCGTCCAGGAGCACAATCGTTAAAAATGACTGCGTCGTAAATTGACCATTTTGTCATAAATGTAACATGATTGATCGCAGAATGATTAGAGTAGAAATGTTGGTTTTTCAGTAGCTCTAGTGATGTAAGCAAACACAGCTTAGTAGCCATTCATCACCACATACACCTCTACTAACAGCATCAAAAAGACAATTGCCATCAGCATTTTCTGGGAGAATAGAAAGAGAAGTACGGTCAATCATGCTGCTTGGCATTTGCAAGTCGGTTGTCTCAACGTGACTATCGCATCTTTTTTGGATGTCATTAGGTAATAGCTGTGCATAAGAAAATCCTTCATATTTTGATTTCTTCCACAAAACTTCCAAATTATATTTTGCTTCACCCTCTGTCATAAACGTTGTGCGATCAGCTGTGATGCTAGAATCATAGAAGAATGAGATTGTAATTGCATTTCCCACGGAAATGATGCAGTTAGGCATATGCAGGGCTGCCCTGACCTTTTTGAGGGCCCTGGCCAAAATTTCCTTTTGGTGCCCCTTTCCCCCCAAAACAGTAAAATAAGGTGATTTTATACCGATTTATAATATTTGGGGGGACTAAGGCCTGTTGACCCCCTCTCTGGGCGGCCCTGCATATGCACAGGGTTGTGCAGGAAAAATATTTTAAAAAAAGATATAGTTTAAAGATGATGTCAAGTCCGTTCTGCGCATCGGTTCTGCTCATAACAAAGGGGGACCCGCAGAAATAAACATTGCCCAAATTTTGCATAATTCTTTTGAACTTTTCTGACATAAAACTCTGGTTTATATTCATTTACGAGCATAAGCAAACCAGAACAGATAGTTATTCAGTTATAGCATTATATCAAATTTTACAACTAATATGGCAGTTCAAAATGTAAACAAAGAGTTGGTTTACATCACGGACTTTACAGCATCTTAATGCTTGTTTACAGTAATATTGGAATTTTCTGATCGTCTTGCATGTATCCTCCCAAAAAACAATAAAAAGAGAATTTTACGTGATGTGCAGAAGATCTAAATGACAGTGACCGGTTGTTCAAAGCTGGGTTAGCAATAACCCTGGCTTAAAATTTAACCCGTTGTTTTAGTTTGTGCACTACTTTTAAATGTCTGTTTCATTTAAAACTTTAGAATAGAAAACTACTATTGCTCCAGACCGATTTTTTGAAGAAATGTTTTCAAGAAGTTGTTAGAAAATTTGTTCTTAATTTTCAGTTAACCAAGGGTTAAACAAACCGGCTTTTGAACAACCGGTTGCAGAATAATTTTATATCCTGCCATTTTTATGTATTTTGGCGGGAAATTGAAATTTTCAAAATAAGACAAAAATACTATTTACTGGTAAAGGCAGTGTACAGAGCATATAGTATCCTATTTCACAATACTCTCACTTGCACTTGTTAGAGTATGGGGATATTGATTGAGAGCTCAGGTTGTTAGTAGGTTCAGTTGGTTTTTTAGCCTTCCATGAATTTTCAACGGGTGGGAAGGGTGGGTCATTGTCAGCAAGAATCTTCCTGGGTGCTTGATCACATTTGAAGTGTTGAATGCAGCGAGAACTGCCTTATTTATAGCCCTTTCTCCTCCCATGGGGCTGTATGCTTCATTACAGTCCTTTACATCCGGTAATTAGTCTTAATTATTCTCGTGCTTTGTTTTCGAGTATTGTGAATAGTATCCTATTTCACAATACTCTCACTTGCACTCGTTAGAGTATGGGGATATTGATTTCGACGCACAGCCTTTATACTCATAATGGGCAGTACCAACAATCAGTCATATAAATACAAACCCCCATATAGGAGGTACTACCCCTCTTTATCCCAATCTCACAATCCCAACCTCAACCACCCCCCCCCCCCGATCTCGGGGACAGGGCGTTGTAGTAATTTGTAGTATCAATTTAACATGATAACGTTGCCCCATTGGGTAAGGGGAGACTTTAGACAAAGGTACAGTTTTATTTCAGCATTTTCGGCTCTCGAGTTAGCATGTGTCATTTGGACGTTTCTGTAAGGGTGCACTGGGGAACGCTGAAATGAATCGTCTCAAGTCATTCGCATTTTCCCATTCTTGTGTAACTGATGTCAGGTCAGCTTGGGTAAGAAGGGAGGAAGCTCCCCCAGGATTAAGGACTTTAGCCAATTGCAAGTAATAGACTGCGGTGTGCCGTTGGGTCCAGCCGACATGGTCCATTACATCAGAAAGTTCCACCCCCGACAATGCTAATGTGATTGTGCACCCAGCCCTGAAGCCGTGAAGGGTTGCGCCATGGTCGCAGCCCATATTCTTTTTGAGTCGAGCTTCTGCTGTTGACAAGGTGAAGGGGGCATTGATGATAGCACCTTGGGGGTTAGTCGGGCGAAAGAGATATCCTTGTCTTAAGTCAATTTTTAATTGTTCCGCAATCGTAATGTATTGTTCAATTCCACGAACCAGGCAAATGTTAGTCTGCGGATTACGTCTAATGCCAAATACAATCGAGCTCCCATCTCCAAGTGTCTTACCCCATGTATGGTTAAAGAGAAATCCATTGTTGTTTGGAAATCTCAGAATCTCTGGCACTTTCACTTGCCCCATGTCACCAGGCCTATCACCGCTAAAGAAGACTGCCTTAAAGTAGGCTTGATCTTGTGCCATCACGAATCGCTGTGTTGTACTCAGGTTTGGCAATTTCATTTGGTCCTCTATATGACTAGTAAGGCAGTCCAGGTTGCCAATCAGGAAGGGACTTGCTTGTTTTGGTTGGACACGAGCTTTCAACTGTTCCATTGTAAAAACTCGTAAGTATTCTTTTATGGATCTGTCCGCTGCGGGGTTACCCAAGCAGAGTCGCAGGTCCCATTCGCCATCTCTTCCAAAGTCATGGAAAATGGATCGAAGTTTACCAATATATGAATCTACCGTCTTGTCTTGTATGAGAGTCTCGTGGGACATGTACACTGATGAAGGCCTTTTTGTCCAAGGAAGTTACAACTATCAACATGGACTTGCGTCTTACCATGACGGTCTTTATAGACAAGAAATCGACAAATATCTCGAGGGCGAACATTAGCTAAACTCGGGGATCCAGGGAGTGTACTAAGAAAACTCTCCAATTCCTTCTGTAGCAAGTCCTTCTGCTTAGCATAACTAGTAGCACTGGAAACTAAGGTAAGTTGTCGTATCCGGCTGTCAATGTGTTCCAGTTCTTGCGGGTTGATAGGGGAGGAGTACGAAGGAGGTATTAGCTGTCTTTTGTAGGCACACTGTTGGCAAAAACGGAAATTGGCATCATTTGCATGGCTGCAATTGGGGCATCTCACCGAAGGTCCAAAGAGTTTAGCTACGAAGGGTAAAGGCTAGAAAGGAAAATTAGGAGTAGATGCATTTTAAAGATAGTAATGATCTTTATTTCGGGATTAATATCTTAGTAGTTTAAATGAATGATGAACTTCATACAGTTTCAATAAATCTTAGGATCCTAAAAGGTTGTGTTTTACAAGAGGTCATGTAATGTTACCCATCGGCTCCTTCATGTGAATTCAAATAATGTAAGAATAATGTAAGAGGCGTCATTGGTCTTCCTCGTTGAATTCAAGCGAGAATGCCCATAACTCACCAGGGGTCGCATGTTGGGGTACAAAACCATTGTGTGAAGGTATCAACAAGGCATTGCTTTCACCCGCCTGTGCCAAACATAGAGACTTGGCAGTGTGTCGCTGAAGAATAGGCCACCAATATTGTCTCGGGTAGGTAATCAATGCCACCAGTGTACAATTGCATTCCTCGGCGCGAAGAAACCGAAGGAGAGGGCCAATTAGAATAGGTGGAGGAAAGATGTAAGGCCAGTCCAAGTATCGCACAGATTTGCGTAAGTTCTGCGCAAAGATGTTTACACCCGATGAAGCCGGAGTGGGGGTGGGTGTAAAGTGAGGTAACAGAGAACCATTCAAGTCTCTCATTGTATTAGAGTCGAGAGCCATCAGGTCACAGGTATGACCATGAGGACCACCAAATTCTTCCTGAACAGTATTCCATATATTTGGATGCAGGTGACTATCCAATTCAGGCGATAAGCGTCGCGAAAGAGCATCAGCTGGGTTTTGTTGTGACGGGACAAAGGTTAAATGGAGGGATATGTTCAGCTTAACTGTCGTAAAGAACAATTGTTTCATGAATTTGTTGAGCATTGCACTCTTTGCTGGCAAGCTGTTATGACTGCCTTGTTGTCAACTTGTGCGTCCACCCATTTGTTTTGCAAAAAATCAGAAAAGGCTTCTAGTGTCTTGTTTAAGGCCAATGCCTCTTTTGCCGCAATATCGTATTTCCGTTCGTCTTCTGTCCAATAATCAGATGTGGTGTTATTCTCTTCTATACCCACTGATACACCCCAACCAGAGCCAGAGGCATCTGTTGCGATTGATATGCGAACATGGCATTCCTCTCGCCAAGGGAGGGGCTGGTTCCAGGTTTCAAGGAATAACCAGTGCTCAAGTTCTTCACGAAGTCTGGTATCAATTCTAACAGTGCGATGAGTATGTAGGCCCTTGGAAATGGCAAGATTCATTTCACGTGTAAAGAGCTGAGCGCCTGCCACTGCTAGCGAGAATGATATGCATTTTCCGGCCAGTCTCTGAAGTGTCTTGACAGAAACCGTAGAATGTGTCAGGACGCTACACAAGAGCTCCAGGAATTTTTCTTGCTTCCAAGGTATGAGGTGGAATGCCTTTTCTACCGAGTCCAAAAGGAAACCCAAGTATGGGACGATCTGAGACGGGTTTGATATAGACTTGGATAATCCAAGGAAGTAGCCTAACCATACTAAATAGTATGCCACAATAAAGATCGCCGATTGCGCTGCTGTAAAGTATCACAGTTCCCGTGTTTGGAGTTAAGAGTAGGCACCCGTATTAAGGTCAATCTGGAGCTGGCCATTATGGCGGTCATCAATATACAAGGCGCATGGGACACCTCGGGAGTGGAAAAAATCAGAGGCAAGAAGGCCCGTAGAGTGGTACACGAATGGAGAAATTTTCCATCGAAACGGGAGTGTGTTGTATACAAAATACCAGCCACCCCATTGAATACCAAAATATGTTTCACTGGCCTCAGTTAGTAAGAGATGATCATATCCCGATTTGTCGTCTAACACCGTTTGATAAGTGTCCTTCGGGACATATTGTGGTAAGTGGGTGACACTATCTAATTTAAACGGAATATCCGTCATCCAGAGATTTAGAAAGCGCACATCATGGCATAATCTGGGTTTTGTGGGTTCTATTGTTAAGGGCAGCACAAGGTAAGGAGGGGCAACATCTTCTATTCTGCCAAGAAGCGACACTGCACCCGTCTGGACGTGCTGAAGTAATGTGTTTGAGACAAAGTCGGCGAATTGTTGACACAAAGGATTGTTTTTAAATTGAGCTGGAGGTGGACGGGCAGAGTCATAGGTTTGACCTTTGAATGGGCGGAAATACTCGAATATGGATACTTTTCCCCGTATCCATGTAAGGACCCGATTTTGCTGTGGAGTCGGAGTATCGTCCAAGAGTGTTTCACATTCATTAACATGATTGTGTAGTTTGCCCGCTCTAAAGTGGTCGGGATCTCGAAACTTTAATTGGTCAATTGTCCGTAGGGCATCACCGTTCGTCACCGTGTTCATTACATCGGAAGCCACAGCTGTCAGCCCCGTACCGGTCTGAACGGGATCCCCCCATGAATTAATACATCTTACAGTGCGAGGTGGGGTCTGCATAGATGCAAGGAGTTGGTCATCGAACCAGAGGTTGATTTCCCAAGCCCATGGTAATCCAGGTGGTTTCTGAAAGGAATCATCGAAAGAAGTCCTGTAGTTGCATGCATTTTAATCCCACCATTGTACATATATATACACACATGACCGAGGGGAACCCCACAGATCGGCAGGGGACAACAGCTGTGACCTAGCATGGCTAGGAGGGTTGAAGATACCCCGTTTTCGCAGCTGTCACCCAAAACAACCCAAAGAGTTTAGAGGTAGGTTGAGTAAAACATGGTACACGTCAGATGCAATAACACTCAATTAATTTTAATATAGAAGAATAGTAAGCTAGATGTAATAGATGGTAAATGCTTTCATGAGGTACACTAGTTACCTTACAAACACAATGAATGGACTAGTTATCAGTTAATTGTATTACATTCATCATGATGTGATCACCATGTTGAGTCTTGTTGTTCTATATAGTGTAATGGTAAGTCATAGAGACAATAAATCGAAAGTACAAAATGTTCAAATTATAATAACATATGGTTAAGGTAGACTGCCGAGGTGAACTAGAGAGAGGAATTAGTTATTAGTGGTCTGCTAACTCCTAAACGTCTTTCATATTTTGTTGTGCCTGTCCAGTAACATTAAACTGCTCCTGATCCCTCTTCAATTTGTAGCACGTATTTCTCGTATGGCCAAATTTCTGACAATAGTAACAGCGGATAGAACGGTATGGAGATGCTGTTGTGGCCCTTCTCATAGAAGGTGGTAATGTTGTGGTTTGGTGTCGTCGCACATGGTTCTTTTCCACTCTACTAATGATGTCCTGGTCTTTGTCCCCTAACAGGGGTAGAAGGAAGGCTCTAAACTGCTCGTTGGTGCTAGAGTTTACTTTTGCTCTGAGCGTTTCGTAAGTCAATTTATAGTAGTTCGCCTTTTCATATTTATTGTCTTGTGGAGTATTTTTATTAGCTTCTAACAGATCCATTGCTTCAAAGCGTGAAAATTCGGCAATCGATCTGGAGGCAAGATTACGAATTTTCATTAGTAGAGGGTCGAGTGATGAGGTGGTCAGAGCCTCAACTTTAGCCTGAAGTTCGGTATACTGCCTTTGCAAAGTCTAGAAATAGAGTGATATATGTCAACACAAACCACATGTGAGCTCATGGTAATGCCTATGCAAATGCTCAAAAGATAAACACAACTTTGAGCTATTGTTATCATCCCGCGTGAGGTCTCAGCATGGTAAATAGCTATTAACATAAATAATCGCCCATTGTGATGATTTTATTACGCCTTCTTCTGGCGAGTAACTTTTGGCCAGTTTCCATGCGGTATGTTTCAGGTGCTATTAGGGAGGAAACCATTATCTCAAGTTTCTTGCAAGCAATTATTCACTGGTCTTGTTGCGAGATAAGCATTGTAGTAGCAAGAGAAGACTTTAACGCCATTTCAATTCATCAGTGGTTCGATTCACCATTCCCAATTAACATGCCGTTTGTAGGTCTCAATTGAGCGCACATGACAGGCATTTACCAAACAATTAATATATGATTATTAGCCATCGTTTGCTTTAAATTGTCTCATGGGAACGATTGCGAATAACCAATGAAATGAAGGGTTACTTGCAACCCTTAAGGTTGAGCCATTGATCCCTTGCCGTAAGCTTTAGGTCAGGATCAGCATGATACTTGACCATTCACAGGCCCCTTAAAATGCCAGGCATTTCAGTACAAGTAAATCTTGAATCAAGATCCACATATTGTGGTGATTCACCGGTCTCGTATCGGGCAAGTCACTACGAGAAAACTGTGAATCACGATTAATATATTTTGATATTTTGACAATATATCACTTGAGTAATCATTCACTGTTCCCTTGTCAAGCGAAATCATCTCACTATGAATAAACTTTGATTCACAGTCCGCCTATTGTGACAATATATCTCATGAGTAATCATTCACTGGTCCCTTGCCAAGCGAAATCATTTCACTACCAATAAACTTTAAGTCACAAGCAACATATTTGGACAATATACCTCGTGAGCAATCATTCACTGGTCCCTTGCCAAGCGAAATCATTTCACTACGAGTATAAACCTTGATTCACGATCAACATATTTTGACAATATACCTCGTGAGTAATCATTCACTGCTCCCTTGCCAAGCGAAATAATTTCACTACGAGTATAAACCTTGATTCACGATCAACATATTTTGACACTATACCTCGTGAGTAATCATTACCTGGTCCCTTGCCAAGTGAAATAATTTCACTACGAGTATAAACCTTGATTCACGATCAACATAGTTTGACAATATACCTCGCGAGTAATCATTCACTGGTCCCTTGCCAAGCGAAATAATTTCACTATGAGTATAAACCTTGATTCACGATCAAGATAGTTTGACAATATACCTTGTGAGTAATCATTCACTGGTCCCTTGCCAAGCGAAATCATGTTACTACGAATAAACGTTTAATTCACGATCAACATATTTTGACAATATACCTTGTGAGTAATCCTTCACTGGTCCCTTGCCAAGCGAACTCTTTTCACTACGAGCTGCCTCGTCCCCAGGCGCTAATAAAAAAATTTCATGCGAGTCACTATATGAAAGGTTTACATGAAGTAGTGCGTGACATTCTAGGCGCGCAAAGGGGAGTGGGATATGAGTGTTCTGGTTAGCGCCTGGCCGATCTTGTATAAATAGCTGTCGAACATACAAGTAAACAACAGATCTAAATATAAATCCCTTCATGTATATCACCAGAAAGAAATAAAGCTATCCTTACCTGAATTATTCAAAATATTGTCGATCGTTTGCATCGTGAAAATCAAACATACTGCATGTAAATAAGCTCGTAACTGAAATCCTGAGACGAATCTTGCAAATGCAATTCAAAATAAAGTTTCATCGCTCCCTTGTTTAAAAAACGTCTTGTAGCTGTATATTTTTAAAATAAATTGCTCGTTGTGATAAAAATTCATTGTCATTTTTCCATACCTTGTAAATTTATTATATAAACCGGCTTCTACAGCCCCGTAGAACTCTTCAAGTGTTGACATCTCGGAATCATTCAAAGCGTTAAAAGATATCAAATATCATCTGACTGTAATCACATGTTTAATTGAACAATTTGAAATGTTGTTTCCTCAAAAAAAATGGCGAAAAAAGCCCCAAAACTGTCGAAAAACCATGATTTGCAAGAAACAGACGAATTTTGCAAGAAACGGCACAAGATCTCCCAGGCGCTCCTCAATTTTGATGCCTCAAGCCCATAACCCCCTGTGCTTGTTCATCGCGATGCACTACTTCATGTAAATCTTTCATATAGTGACTCGCATAAAATTTTTAACTAGCGCCTGGGGACGAGGCAGCACTACGAGTATAAACCTTGATTCATGATCAAGATAGTTTGACAATATACCTCGAGAGTAATCATTCACTGGTCCCTGGCCAAGCGAAATCATTTTACTACGAATAAACGTTAATTCACGAGCAACATATTTTAACAATATACCTCCTGAGTAATCATTCACTGGTCCCTTGCCAAGCGAAATCATTTCACGACAACTAACAAGTACGCTGTACAAGTGTACATAGAAACTGACTAGAAATCTATAGGAGTTATGAACAAGTGATTCGCTGAAAGTCACGCTATGAGTACTTACACGTGCCCAAACGTGTACATATTATGAATTAGAAGTACGTAGAAAAGCAGATTAAAAAATTACCTCCAAGTTTTCCTGCGGCACGTTGACTATGTTGCCGTCGTTGCTGCTGATCTCAGCGGGTGCTACGTTCTGTTCACCAAGTGGTGACACTTGTTGCGGTATCTGTGGTTCTTCTGCCATAGTTCCTGTTGAAAATTCGTGAAGGCTTCTGGAGTTTGTCAGCAAGAATCTTCCTGGGTGCTTGATCACATTTGAAGTGTTGAATGCAGTGAGAACTGCCTTATTTATAGCCCTTTCTCCTCCCCTGGGGCCGTATGCTTCATTACAGTCCTTTACATCCGGTAATTAGTCTTAATTATTCTCGTGCTTTGTTTTCGAGTATTGTGAATAGTAGGTAGACCCAAGGAGATATAGAGAGATTGTAGGTAGTCTGATTTACTTGATGACATGTACCAGACCAGATATTAGTTGGGTGGTTAGCAAGCTATCTCAAAATTGTCATGTCCCAAGATGGAAGATTTAGTGACTGCAAAACATGTACTGAGATATTTAAAGGGCAGCATGGAGCATGAGAAAGTGTGATGGTGAGCTTAAAAGTGAGATGGTGAACTGTACCAATAAAGCATGTTTAAAAGATGGAACAAGTCTACACAATATTTCATAATTCAATGACAAACACGTGGAGGCAAGACATTGGCAAGACTGACAATGATTTTCTTTGTTTTGATGATTCAATTTGCAATTGCATTTTGCTTTTGCGGCCAGCTAAAAATATAAATATTTTGTAATATGGAAATAAAAGATGCAAATCTGAAGACACAAGCTTGAAAATATGACTCTAAATAGTGTTTTGGATTCCGGTTCGAATAAGACTATTACGAAAAAGATATGTCCAAAGGGGCCGAAGTTATGGTCGGCTAAATGTATGGCTATTTTACATTGTTCAAGACTAATTGAGTAATATAATGAATTATTGACACCGCTTGACCTCTCAAAGGTCGTAAATAGCTACTTACTAAAAGCTAAAACTGTCTGTACAAGTGTTGGTAGTACCAATGTGAAAATGCTGTGCTGAGTGGTTATATTACTACCTTAAAAAATAAGCAGAAACTCGACATTTCTAGCGAAGGCCCTTCGTCAAGAGTTAGTTTCTGCTTATTTTTTAAAGTAGTAATATATAACCACTTAGCACCGCATTTTCATAAATAGCTATTTGACTACAATTTGACAAACTATATTTGACTAACTATATTTGACTAAAACTATCATTACAAATAAGGAGATTTTGTTTCACTGAATCAAATGGTAGTAATTTTGTCTTCATAGCATGCACCGAACCGGAGATATGAACCTTGTTTATAATAGGAAGCTAATTAAGACGCGCCAAATCTGAAACATGGCGCGACTAAAAAACAATCGCTAATATAAATGGGAGACTAGTTTTACTTTGTTTTTCTCATGTGACTGACTTTGTTTACCCACAACAGTTTTTATCCGTGAAGTGAAACTGTGATAATAGCGGCAGTTTTCATTACGTCTGCGTCGCAGATTTGGTATATTAATGATACCACTAGAGACCTGACAAGATGCTACAGATTAGCATCTTCCAATACAACATATTAACCAGGTATAAAATTCACTCCAGAATCATCGGACTGATTCTCTGTTGATTTTGTTGACATGATACTTTATAAAACTTCGAATATAAAAAGTTAAACACTTCGGGATCAAAACATTCAAGCTGATTAAAACAGATAACTTAACAGACCATCAAGACTTGACTCACTTGCGCTTGCGTGACGTCAGAATAAATGCTAGTGTCAGTCTCACACTGTCACACTTCTGTCGCCGATGGCCATTAGCCAAAAATATTTGGATTCAAACAGCTCTAAAATTTTTTCGTTTTGATGAAATTGAAAAATGTTTTCGCTAGAACACCATACTAAATGAGTACTTTCAATAGACTGAAAAAAATTTTTGTGTCAGGGGCACTTTAATCTTATTGCTTATACAGACGCTGACTGGGCATCTTCGTTGGATGATCAACACAGTACAACAGGGTACTGTTTTAGCTTAACTGAGAATGGTCCTCCCATATTGTGGAAGTCTAAGAAGCAACCCACAATTGTGCTTTCAACTTGTGAAGCAGAGTACGTAAGTTTAGCAGCCACTACTCAGGAAACTTTATATTTGATGCAGTTACTTAACAGTATGAATAGCAAAATATATACATGCATACGAATATGTGAGGATAATCAAGGGGCAATAGCCTTAAGTAAAAATCTGGTAAGTAGACAAAGATGCAAACATATTGACATTAAGTATTTCTTACGAGAAGTACTTATAAGTGGTAAAATAGACATTGCTTACTGTCAAACAGAACATTTGGTGGCAGACATACTTACTAAACCAGCTACCAAAGTTAAACTGGACAGGTTTAGATCCATCCTATTTGGGTTACAATCCATGTAATTAGCGTTCATTAGTTTTTTGGCTAGGTTGATAGTGGGGGTGGGCATGCATGTAATTAACATGTGTTAGGCTTTAGTAGTTAAGTAAAATAAAACAAATTTTAAATGTAAATAACTTTAGTACATGAAAACAAGTGGGGGTGTTGCACAATGTTGTCATGTTGTTCATATTATGTCATATCCTATGAGAAGAGCATCATGGGATCGGAGAACACTTGTGCCTTGTGTGTGTGTCTCGTATTTATGTATGTAAAAAACCTTTATAAAACTTATAATATATAATAAAATATACCGAAATCAACCAAATGAGTTCAACAATGAGGATTTCAGGCCAATGACACACAGGGCTGTTAATGAAAATGTTGGACCACTACATTTTCAAAGACAGAAATCCTAGACAGAAGTTCCTATCGAAGACGTACATCACAATCTTTGAACCAGTAAGTTGTATCTCTAGATAAATTTACCTGCCAAAAAATGTCATTTTCGTGAAGTTCATTTACCCTTGGCAAAAACTCAGTTATTTGCAAACTGCATTGTACTCTTCTACATATTTGAGAGCTGTTGCCTACAGATGGCTCGGTAAATGATGTGTTGGCTTCTTAGGATGGGATTACACAAGGCCTTTACCAGCCTGTGTGTATAATTTTATTAGAAAAAAATATGCATCGGCAGACATAACAGGTTATATTCCTGCTGAACAACATTCATAGGGGCCAAGTATGTTATATGTAGCTGTGTCAAATTTTTACTTGAATGTGTGACAAATTTAATCAAACCAGTCCAAGCCTTGAAGTGTTGTGAACAGTTTTTAATTTGAATATTTGTAATATTTTGTATACTGTCCTAAACCCATTCTATAACAAATGAAACCAGAGTACCCGGAGGAAGTCAAACACAGTTCATACTAAAAAATCACCCAGAGAAAACCAGCAATATTTTGTCATTTGTATTCAGGTGTGTATAGGCTGACCCTATACACTTGACTACAAGTGCAGTGTCATAAAAAAATGAGAAATGTTGCACTATTGTACTAACCAATAAACATTCAACAAGTTTTATGGTTTGGTACATGGTGCATTCACTGTATATCGTCCAATCAGATCAATGCAGTATGCCATGGCTATATATATATATGGTGATAGGAAGTAAAATAAATACATATTTTATGTCTCTCAGGTAATATATAAAGGATGGAGTTCTCCGAGAGTAATATCACATACGTACCCTTTTCTAGATATATGCAAAATTAAAAGCAAAGATTAACATACGATAGCATTCCTCC